GAGACCTTCATAAGTGACCTCAAGTCCCACCCAGAGCACCATGGCTCTGCCAGCCTCATTTCGGCGCCAGCTCCCAGGAGCATCATGAAAATCCAAGTACAGAAACCCAGGTCTTGCATACACTTTGTAATCCAAACCAGAGTCCTCCTAGGGATGCGACTACAGTGAGAAGAGTGAGGCAGTCACCACTGGAGCAAAACCTAAGAGGGCACCAAAAAGCTTAATAATCATCATAATAAATAATATTTTAATGCAACATTTTGAAATCAAATTTAATGCAAAAATCCAAGATGAACAAGATTTCAATTTATAAATAAAGACAGCATTAGTATTAGTGATTTTTTTTTTTTTTTTTTTTGGCCTCAGGCTCCAAAGTAGCTCTAATCAGACGACCTCTGCCTCTCACTTTCCTCCATTGTGATGAACCACACCATGAGCTCCTGTAATGGAAGGTGCAAAGGAGGAAACATTTTGCTGGTTGCATCACTCTGTGCTGGGAGAGCACTGTAGGATGAGCACCCAGGGCTCAGTCCAGGGTCTCAGACGTTCGAGAACTGCCAGGGAGCCCACAATTCACTCTCATCTGATGCTGCCTCTCAGGATGAGTCCTGGAGGACTGGTTCCCAAGGACCTAGAAAGAGGCTCTTGCTGGAGCACGGCAGCACATTCTCTGTTGAAGCCATTCCCGTTCAGCACACAGCAATGTCAGCACCCTTTCCACGGCACTCACACTTCTCCAGCACCCATTCCACCTGCATACTGAAGATGGAATACAGTGAAATCCTTCACTTCCTGCTCCACCAAACATCCCTGTGATAAACGTCACACACAAACATTATTGATTGTTTTCTATCACTCAAGGAGCAAATGTAAGGAGGGAGAATGCAATGAGCTATCTCTCGGCCGAGCACTGACAGAACATGATAAATGATTACAGGGAAGACTCCGTGTTCTGAAGGACTTTTAGTTATTACCACCACCTCCTCTTTCTAATCCTCCAAGGGTTGAGGCAGATCATCTCATCAGCATTGTCTGTTAGACAGGGGCCAAAGCCAGGGATCATAACTCTGTGAGCCCTTCTTTGCTAATGTAGCCAGGGGAAAAGTGCCAAAGAAGGAAAGCTCCTTAATTTAAGTGAATTGAAGGATATTTTTGGAATGAAAATTAATCCTTTATGAAAATAAATGATGGAAGGGATCCACTCCTGAAGCAAGTACCGTACTGTGTAACAGTGTAGTCACAGCAGACATTGCAAGCCTGATGGTGTTGTGCAATGCAAGGCTGACAGTCCCCATTCCTGGTGCCTCAGCATCACTGTACCCCACCCCAGCCACAATCTCTGTTGTGTCATCTCCATTGGCCTTCGGTAAGAAATAGGCAACAAAGTTTAACAATGATCATCCACAATAATTTTTCCATTTTACTGGAAGATTCTTGGTTAATAAGAATTTTAAGCAATCTTTAAAAATAATGTATCAAGTATTTATGATAGGTAGTAGGTAAATGTTCTGTGGCAGGAAATTCTGTGAAACCCACAGTGGTACCTTTAGGGGTAACTTCAGACCCACAGGGTAACTTCAGACCTGGAGGATATCTACATACCAGGTAGTGAGCTCCAAACTGTTAAGCAGCAAAACTATAAGGCTAGTTAACTGGTTTCCTTCATCCCAAAACAAACAAACAAAAACTCACTGCCATCAAGTTGATTCCGACTCACAGTGACCTCCACTGGGTTTCTGAGGTGGTAAATCTTTACAGAAGTAGATCGCCCCATCTTCCTTCTGTGGAGTGGCTGGTGGGTTTGAACCATCAACCTTCTGGTTAGCCGTAGGCACTGCACCACCAGAGCTCCTTCATCCCCAGTGTCCCTGAATTGCAGATACAGAGAGTGAGAGACTACAAACAGTTTCAGAAGTCAGGGTTTTCTGAGTACATGGGAGCTTTTGCCCTTGATATTCCTTCTGTTTGGACTATTTCTCTAAATTTAGGGTTTCTCTAAAACCCTAAATTTCAACAGGGTTCCTCATGTATTATGCAGAGTAATTGCCCCAAACAGTATCTCCAACCTGTGAATGTTGTTGTTGTTGTTGTTATGTGCCGTCAAGTCGGACCTGACTCATAGTGATCCTTCCTTGGATTTCCGAGACAGTATCACTATGGAAGTAGATTGTCCTTCCTTCCTTCAGAGGAGTGGCTGGTGGGTTTGAATTGCCAGCCTTCTGGTTAGCAGTCAAGTGCCTTAGGCACTATGCTACCAGAGCTCCTGTGAATGTTAGATTACCACATTTTTTTGCATATAATGTGCCCACGTAAATAATGTACACACATAGCATGCATGGGTGGGACAGGGTTGCACAGGTTGTAAAAACATACAATGTGCATGTCATTTGCATAAAAACCTCATGTTTGAGTAAAAATATGTTGTATGGTAAAGGGGAATTAAGATTGCATATGGAATTAAGGTCGTTGATCAGCTGACTTTGAGATAGGGAGAGTATCTTGAATTATCCAAGTGGGCACAATGCAATCACAAGGGGCCTTATAAGTTGTAGAGGTAGACAGGAGACAGAACCAGAGAGAAAGCAGCACAAGAAGCACTTGGCCTAATGTTGCTGCCTTTGAAGATGAAAGACCAAGACCACAAATCAAGGAATGTGGGCAGCCTCTAGAAGCTAGAAAAAGCAAATACACAAATTCCCCCTTAGAGCCTCCAGAAGGGATGCAGCCCTACCAACACTTTGCTTTAAGTCCAATGAGACCCGTTTTGGACTCCTGACCCCCATTATTGTAAAATAATAAAAATGTGTTTTTTAAGCCATCACCTTTATGCTAATTTGGTACTGCAACACTTCATCATTTGATCTCAGCTCAAATGTCAATGTCTTAATGAGACTTTCCTTAAACCTCCGCATCTGCTGAAGTATCTTCCTGTTTTGGCCCACTCGTGCTGCTCCAACAAAAATGCCACAAGTGGACGATTTAACAAAAAAGGATGATTTCTCTTACAGTTTAGGAGGCTAAACATCCAAGTTCAAGTTCCAGCTCTAGGGTCTGGGTGAAGGCCCCTCATCCTTGGGTTTCAGCTCTGCCTCTTGCTCCCGGCCCACTGGAGCTACAGGCATCTCGTTGCTAACTGGTGAGGCTGGCAAACCAAGGTTGAAAAGTAAAATGGCACAGACCCAAGGTTATTAAGCAACAGGGCAGGCCACTAGTTCAAGACCAGAAATAGTCTCAAGATTGGCAGGCAACATGGCAGGCTGCTGAACATGCAGGGTCCCAGCGTGCCAAAAAGCTCAAGACCTTTATCTAACTGTCTTCTTATAGACGAGAAGCAGAACACATTTCAAAGGCAGCTACTCAACTGCTCATAGCAGATTCCATCATGGAGTTCATTACCAGTCTCCTCATGGGGAATAACTACATCCAGCTGCCCAGTCACTCAATCCCAGGCCCAGCCAAGTTAACACATAACCTTAACTACCACCCTCCCATCACCCAGCAATTCTCTATAACCCATTTCTATTTTCACATGCTTATGATTATCTAAGCATGTGAAAATAGAAATGGGTTATAGAAAATTGCTGGCTGATGGGAGGGTGGTAGTTAAGGTTATGATTATCTAAGGAGCTCTGGTAGCATAGTGGCTAAAGCACTTGACTGCTAACCAGAAGGCTGGCGGTTCAAACCCACCAGCCACTCCTCGGAAGGAAGGTTGGGCAATCCTACTTCTGTAGTGATACTGCCTCGGAAACCCAAGGAGGGGTCGCTATGAGTCGGGGCCGACTCGACGGCACATAACAACAACAACAACAACATGATTATCTAAAATTATTTTGTTTGTGTGTGTATTGCCTGGTCCCTCTCATAAGAATGTCAGCTCTAGGAAGGTAGGGACTTGGTTTCTCTTCTTCACGAATTCTCTCCATTGCTTAGGACCCTGGCAGACATTCAATAAGTATTCGTTTTATGAATGAGCCTAAAGCTAATGAGGAAAATAAAACTCTTGTCACTACTGAATCACAATTATAGGCCTGTTAACTGAGTCCCATGCCCTGTAAGTCCTATGTTCCATGGAATTGCCCTATAGAAAATAGAAATAGAATTAGAAATAATAAGAAAAATAGTAAATCAGTTATGTTATTCCAGGTAGTGGAGTCAGAAAACTTACATAGTAAGTACTATCCCTGAGTAGGGAACTCTGGTGGCATAGTGCTTAAGGCATTTGACTGCTATTCAGAAGGCTAACGGTAAGACTGGGCAATCTACTGCCTGTAGAGATACCGAATCAACTGGAGGGCAGTGAGTTTGTTTTTTTTTTTTTTTTAAATCCCTGAGTAACTGCAGACAAGAGAGTCCTCTGTGATTAAATAAGCAGTTTGAGAGGGCCAAAGAAGCGTGAAAAACAAGCATCCTGGGTTAATCGCATAAATATTGCTTAATTACTACAGTTCTTAAAAGACTATAAAAAATGTCATAATAGGAGAAAAATAGATGAGTAAAACAGAACACCATGATTCTTTCCTTTTTATAGCAATGAGTCAATTCTCTAATAAAGATGCCGAAAATTATTAGATTCAGCTAAAGAATGCGGTGCTAATAATCTTTGCAGTTTTCATTTGAAATGAAATGTAGTAAGTAAAAGGCACGTTAAGAAAAGTCTGGTCTCGAGGGAGGTAGGAACCCACCTGGCCCAGTGAAAGAGGCTATGCAGACACGACCTAATGCCCCGGTATTAACACTCTGGAAAAGGACCTCTGGGCTCGGTGCCCTGTCTGGCTTATTCTCGCCAGATCAAAAGAGTCGCACCTCCCTAGGCTAAGCGGACTCTGACCCTGGTAGTTAGTGATAACTATTTTCTGGCATAAACACCCTACAATCAGCTAGCCAATAACCACGGAGTTAAGGCGGGACTTTAGAGTGGCCAGCCAATGGGAGAATGGCAGGGCTGGACTCAAAGCCCAAGTTCCAAAGGCGTTGGCTGGGTTTGCAGCCCGAACTCCGGGCAATGTGGGACCCTCGTGGAGTAGAGGCTTGTGCAGCGGCGCTTGGCGGGGCGCTCTTCCTGCTGCTCTTCGCGCTGGGGATACGCCAGCTGCTGAGGCAGAGGCGGCCGGTGGGATTCCCTCCGGGGCCCATGGGACTGCCGTTTATCGGCAATATCTACTCCCTGGCCGCCTCTTCAGAGCTCCCTCATGTCTACATGAGAAAGCAAAGCCAGGTGTATGGCGAGGTACAGGACCAAAGGGCCCGGGGCAGGGAGGGCCGCCGTTCGCTCCTCGGGTCTGCCCTGAGCCTTCTTCCCAACTGGACTTACAGTCACTCCTGGTGGGCCCAAGTTAGTGCAAATTCTTTCCGTGTGCCTAGCGGCCACAGAAGAGTCGAAACTGCCTTGCGCTTGCGCGGGGTGGTGGTGGGGGATGTGGGCAGCGCCAGGCCTACAGCTCCGGATTGTGGGTCCAGCGGCTTGCGTGCCTGGACCTCTGCGTGTAGTGCCCCCGCCCAGCATGCGCACCATCCCCTGTGGATTATTTCTCAGCCCTGTAGAGCTTGCCTTCAGCGCGCATAGGATAGATTCCAGCTCATGGCTTCTCAGAAAAACAAGACCTCTGAATTGTAGGACCGACCGAGTTCGTTGCTAATAGGAGGTTCATTAATATTTGAGTTTGAGGAAAGACTAAACTAGGATTTTGCTGTAACGATTAAAAAGGGAATACACAGGAGAAAGTCCCTAGCCTAGAATTGGGCCGTGGTAAATGATTATGAAAGAGTGAATGAATGAATGGGTATGGGATCCTACAGTGCAGAGGAGGAAATACTATTCTCATTGCCCAAAAACATCGTACAGGGACATAGGGAAAGAACATTCCAAACCGAGACATGAACAAATACAAAGGCCATGAAGGAGTATGTCATGTTGAGAATCACCTGTAAAGAGACAAGGGTGAGATTAATGAGACCCGTTAGGAGGCTTTTGTGATAACATAGGAGCCTTGATGGAGGTGAGCAGTTGGATGTGAAGGTAGGGAGAAAGAAAAAAAAAAAAAAAGGAAATTAACGAATTAACATGGGCTGTATTGTTTTGGATCTGGACAGCTTGAAGGACTGAGTGGCCATTAACTGAGATAATGAAAAATTGTGGTTAGAGCTGATTTCGGGGAGAGGATCACAGACTGACTTCTAGAAACCAAGGAAAATGTCTCATGTATTTCTGGTTACATCTTTGCCAACGCCATAATTAGACCATTTGTTGTTAGATGTACATTGATTGCTTACTCAGTGGCCCCATGTGTGCAGGGTAGAACTGCTCCATAGGATTTTCTTTATTTTTAATACAATTTTATTTATTTCGTTGTTTTTGTTGAGAATATACACAGTAAAACATACACCAATTCAACAGATTCTACATTTACCATTTAGTGATACTGATTACATTCTTGGAATTGTATAACCATTCTCACCCACCTTTTCTGAGTGTTCCTCCCCCATTAACATAAGTTACTCCTAAGGTTCCTATCTAGTCTTTTGTGTTTTCTGTTCCATTGTGTTTTCAAGACCTTTAGGAAGCAAATGGCCAGGCCTGTCTTTTGAGGCACCTCTGGGTGGGTTTGAACGGTCAACCTTTCACCCAGTAGGGAAACGCTTAACCAGTGGGACCATCCAGGGACTCCAAATCAAAGAATATATAAACCCTGTTAAAACAAAAATCATAGTAAGCCAACAGAAATTGATTAAAGTTTATTGAATATATGATTTGGGCTAACATTTCAACTAGAATGTATGTAAGCAAATCCAAAATTTGAGGTGTTTGTCATAACTAAACTGGCTGACCTGGGTCCAGATTAGATGCTATTTTACTTTAGACTCCCATTTGTTTCTTTAGCCTTACTTCTGCTTCTTACCAGCAGTTGGACTTTTGAAAAACTTTAACTGATCTTAGCACATAAGTTTGGTCAGGAATGTAGTTAAGATAATGACCGAAACTTTCCACTTACTCCTTCCTTGATCAACAGGTTCTCAGAAGAAATGCTGTTACATAAAAAACCAAACCAAATGCACTGCTGTGGAGTCAGATCCAACTCATAGCAACCCTTCCTTGGGTTTCCAAGACAGTTTCACTCTGGAAGTACCAGGACCCCTCTGAAACTGATTTTGTAAAATGCTTGTCTGTGCCAGCCCCAAGATGTCTGAAGGCTAGAAAAACAAGTTATTTTGAACTGTTCATGGTCTGTTGTTGTCAGGTGCCGTCGAGTTGTCTCCAACTCATGTTGTTGTTGTTGTTATGTGCCATCAAGTCAGACCCGACTCACAGAGACCCCTCCTTGGGTTTCCGAGGCAGTATCACTACAGAAGTAGATTGCCCCATCTTCCTCCAACTCATAGCTTATGGCAAAATGAAACACTGCCCATTCTCGTGCCAGCCCCATGATCCTCGCTATGCCTGAGCCGATCATTGTAGCCACTGTGTCAGTCCATCTTGTTGAGGGCCTTCACCTTTCTCCTTGACCCTCCACTTTACCAAGCACGATAGCCTTCTCCGGGGAATGGTTTCTAACCACGACATGACCAAAGTAGGTGAGTCTGGCCATTCTCCCTTCAAAGGAGCATTCTGGCTGCAGTTCTTCTAGGACAAATTTGTTAGTTCTTCAGGTAGTCCATGGTACTTTTCAGCCTTCTTCGCCAACACCACAACTCAAAAGCATCAACTCTTCTTCATTCTTCCTTATTCATTGTCCAGTTCTCACATGCATATGAGGTGACTGAAAAATACCATGGCTTGTGTCAGGTGCACCTTAGTCTTCAAGGAGATATCTTTGCTCTTCAGCACTCAAGAGGTCTTTTGCAGCAGATTTACCCAATGCTATATGTTGTTTGATATCTTGACTGATGGTTCCATTGGTGTTGATTGTAGAACCAAGTAATATGAAGTCTTTGACATCTTCAACCTTTTCTCCATTTATTGTGATGCTGCTTAGTGGTCCAGTTGTGAGGATTTTTGTTGTCTTTATACTGAGGAGTAATCCATACTGCAGACTATAGTCATCAGTCTTCATCAGTAAGTGCTTCAAGTCATCCTCACTTTCAGCAAGCAAAGTTGTGTTGTCAGCATATCATAGGTTTTTATGAGTCTTCTTCCACTCCTGATGCCATATTCTTCTTCATATAATCCAGCTTCTCAGATTATTTGCTCAGCATACAGATTGGATAAGTATGGTGAAAGGATACAATCCTCATACACTCCCTTCTTGATTTTAAACCATGCAGTGTCCCCTTACTCTGTTTAAACGACAGCCTCCTGGTCTATGTACAGGTTCCTCGTGAGTACAATTAAGTGTTCTGGAATTCCCATTCTTCTCAAAGTTATTCATAATTTGTTATGATGCACACAGCCGAATGCTTTTGCATGGTCAATAAAACACAAGTAAACATCTTTCTGGTATCCTTTGCTTTCAGTCAAGATCCATCTGACATCAGCAATGGTATCCCTCATTCCACATCCTCTTCTGAATCCAGCATTTATGGTCAGTCAACCACAATGTCTATGGTCTTATGATAACCTTGAGTCTCATTACACAAAACTTTGTAAATATCAGCCAATTAGAAAATTACCTTTTAGTTCCTGATATTTTGGTATTTAAATATCCTCTAGCCCAAGCTTACAAAAGCATATGGTTGTTTCACTTTTATTTACTATTGGGCTGAGAGCCAGCCCCTGGGGGTGTGTGCAGAATGTATTCCAGGGCCATAGTATTGGGAGTCTTGCCAGATTTCATCTGAGCAGTAAATCTGGTCATTATTGAGTTTTTGGATTTTGTTCCACGTTTTCCCTCCCACTCTATCCAGGATCTCCAGATTTGATCCTTTCCTGAGTGGTTGGCATTGGTAGCCAGGCACCATCTAGTTCTTCTGGTCTCGAGGGCCATTGTGTCCTATGGCTGATTGCTTCCAAATGCACTCTTTTTTTTTTTTCTTTTTTCTTTTTTTTTTTTTTTGCATTCTTCTTCGCTTCTGACACTAGGAGATGGTTAGCTGCATCTTAGATGGCTGCTGGAAAGCTTTTAAGACCCTAGTTGCTACTCACCAATGTAAGATGCAGAGCAAGGCTTTTGTGTATTTTGTTGTGCCAATTGAGTCTGGTGTCCCCCAGTACTATGGTCCTGAGATGGTAGATCTACTGGATCTCTCTCCCATAGTGTCTGGTTTCTGTGAGGGATTACTCTGTGTCTGTCTTCTATTGTTTCTGTAAGGACTGCAGGTATTTTGTATCACTGGTGTTTGTGCAAGATTAGCCTCAGCTGAATCTATCCTTGGTCTAGAGTATACTCCTGTTCACTGACCTCCCGTTTGATCATCTCAGGTGTTTATGTGTTTATCTATAGCCTGGTGTTTGGTGTTAATGGCAATGCAGTATTGTGGACACATCGGTTAGCATTAGCATCTGTCCTCTATCTCTTTTGTGCACAATTTGGTGTCCTCCCATTTCCTAATTTTATCATGGTGGTCACAGATCCTTCCCGTATATCCCTCCCCCTACCCACATCAGCTTGTGGGCCCCAATTAGCTCAAAATTAATCCCTCCATTTCCTTCCCCATCCCAGTAACCTACTAAATGAGTTCTCTTTACCAAGTAAACCCTTCTTTGTCTTTTTCCAGTAATGGGCTCATACAGTACTTGTCTTTCTGCGATTGACTTACTTCACTCAGCATTATGTCCTCCAGGTTCATCCACGTTCTGAGATGATTCGCGTATCCCTCATTGTTCTTTAATGTAGCATAGTATTCCATTGTATGCATGTACCATAATTTGGTTATCCACTCATCCATTGATGGACATTTAGGTTGTTTCCATCTCTTTGCTATAGTGAAGTGTGCTGTGATGAACATAGGTGTATATATGTCTGTTCATGTGCTGTCTCTCACCTCTTTAGGATATATTCCTAGTAATGGAATTGCTGGGTCAAATGGTACTTCTATTTTCAGTTTTTTAAGGAAACACCATACCGTTTGCCACAATGGTTGTACCATTTTACAGTCCCACCAGAAGTGCACAAGAATTCCAATCCCTCCACAACCTCACCAGCATTAGTTATTTTCTGACCTGTTGAACTTTGCTATTATTGCTGGGGTGAAATGATATCTCATTGTTTTGATTTGCATCTCTCTAATGATTAATGAGGAGCTCTGGTAATGTAGTGCCTAAGGCATTTGACTGCTAACCAGAAGGTTGGTGGTTCAAACCCACCAGCCATTCCTCAAAAGGAAGGTTGGGCAATCTACTTCCGTAGTGATACTGCCTTACAAACCCAATGAGGGGTCGCTATGAGTCGGGTCCAACTCGATGGCACATAATAACAACAAAAATAATTAATGATTGTGAGCGATTTCTCATGTGTGTGTTGGCTGCCTGTATATCTTCTTGGGTGAAGTGTCTGTTCAAGTCTTTTGCCCATTTGTGAATTGGGTTATTTATCTTTTTGGTGTTGAGGTGTTTTCTATAGACTTTGGAGATAAGTCCTTTATCAGATATGTCATGTTGTTGTTGTTGTTGTTATGTGCCATCAAGTCAGACCCGACTCATAGTGACCCCTCCTTGGGTTTCTGAGGCAGTATCACTATGGAAGTAGATTGCCCCATCTTCCTTCCAAGGAGTGGCTACTGGGTTTGAACTGCCAGCCTTCTGGTTAGCAGTCAAGTACCTTAGGCACTATGCTACCAGAGCTCCCTCTATGGAATGTTGTTGTTGCTGTTGTTATGTGCTATCGAGTCAGACTCGACTCATAGCGACCCCTCCTTGGGTTTCTGAGGCAGTATCACTATGGAAGTAGATTGCCCAACCTTCCTTCCAAGTAGTGGCTGGTGGGTTTGAACCACCAGCCTTCTGGTTAGCAGTCAAGTCTCTTAGGTACTAAGCTACCAGAGAGAGATGCAAATCAAAACAACAATGAGATATCATCTTGCTCCACCACTAGTAGCAAAGTTCAACAAGACAGAAAATAACAAATTCTGGTGAAGATGCAGTCCCACTGCTGGTGGGACTGTAAAATGATACAACCACTGTGGAAAGCAGTATGTCGACTCCTTCAAAAGTTGGAATTAGAAATACCATTTGATCCAGCCATTCCATTACTAGGTATATATCCTAAAGGAGTGAGAGCCATGACAAGAACAGACATATGCACACCCATGTTCATCACAGCACTATTTACAATAGCCAAAAGGTGGAAACAACCTACGTGCTCATCAACAGAAGAATGGGTTTCCAAGATGGTAAATCTCTGTGGAAGTAGATTGCCCCATCTTCCTTCTGTGGAGCTGCTGGTGGGTTTGAACCCCAACATTCTGGTTAGCAGTCAAATGCCTTAGGCATTGCACCACCAGAGCTGCTTTCTCAAGAAGAATAGAATATTCAGTTCCCATTGCAACTTTGAGGGGCCTTTACTAAATGATTAATAAGAGAGCCTATATCCAAACAAAACCAAATCCACTGCCATTAAGTCAATTCTGACTCGTAGTGACTGTTTAGGACAAAGTAGAACTGCCCCATAGGATTTCCAAGGCTATAAATCTTTACAGAAGTGGACTGCCTCGTCTTTCTCCTGTGGAGCAGCTGGTGGGTTCAAACCACTTTCCTTTTAGTTAGCATCCAGATGCTCTAATCACAGTGCCACCAGAGCTCCTGAACATATATCCATCTCCATTCAAAAGTTTCTCAGTGTGCCATAGAAATGAGGGGTGGGGTGGGGCGTAAAGTCTCATAGGCCTTTCACAAGCCCTTCCCTATGTAAAGCTGGAATAATAAGTAATAATGTATTACTTATTATTCATCTTGGAAATAAAGAGACCCAGATAATCACTTAATGTTTTGAGTTTGAATGAATTTTAAAAGGTTGAAAATTAAATATCTTTTTATGAAAACCATGAAACCCCTAATGGTTAAAGGTTCTGCCTGGAATTCTTTATCTGTTTAATCATAAAGCGTAAATTAGAACCCAGGTTACTGAGTCAATACTCTTTCCTTTATACCCTTTATAAGATAAGAGCTCAGGCACTAAGTGGTTAATGAAGTCACAGTCCTTTACATGCCTTGCAGAGAGAAGACATTCTAAACATTGTCAGTTGAAGGACACCTACATTTTCAGGGAAGTAACTAATACTATGAAAGCTGGGCTTATTACATGTGGATGTCCATGATTATAGTACTCCATACATTCTGCTACTTAAATGCTTTTTTTCCTTCTTCTCAAAGATCTTCAGTTTAGATCTTGGAGGTATATCAACCGTGGTTCTAAATAGCTATGATGTAGTAAAGGAATGCCTTGTTCATCAAAGTGAAATTTTTGCAGACAGACCTTGCCTTCCTTTATTCATGAAGATGACAAAAATGGGAGGTATGTTTATTTTCACCTATTGAGAGATTTATTAAATTATTTTAAATTGTCTGCCTTATTTTAAGTAATTTCAGTGCATAGGATTTGGGATCTATTGTACTCATTAACAGGAAAATATTTATTTATAGAAGTTAGTATTTGGATACCTTTTAGTTCCCCAATCATATTTTTATACAATTACATGCTAATTCTGTTGTAATCCAGTTCTAATAGATTTTATAATGTTTTAAAGAAACCATGTCATTTCTTCAGTAGCATACCTACTCTAGATTTTGATGAATTTTGTTGGATGTTTGAATTTTGCTTCCCTGTCATGTCATGTGTTAAAATACTCTAGCCATTGAATATTCTCTAAGTTGGTAATTAAAGTTAGAGACTTGATCAGATTCAGGTGAACTTTTTTGGGGCATGATTTCTTCACTAAACCAAACCAAACTCATTGCCATTGACTTGATTCAAACTTATAGTGACCCCATTGGGTTTCTAAGACTGTAAATCTTTATGGAAGCAGATTGCCTCATCTTTCTTCTGTGGAGCAGCTGGGGGGTTTGACCCAGTGACCTTTTGGTTAGCAGCTAAATGCCTTAACCACTGCGCCATCTGAGCTCCTTAGATTTCTTCACAGATGGCGTTTATTGCTTCTGGAAAACATACATTGTCTGATTTTTTCAACAAATAGATTGCAGGAAGTGAAAAAAGATAGAGATGAAGTGTTAGCTTAAAGGAGACAATGATATATTAACGAATTTCAATGTGTAGACCTCATTTGGGTCTTAATTGAAACAAACAAACAAAAGACCTTTTTGAGACAACTGGGAATTTAACACATACTGTATTTAACACTTCCTGTATTATTGCTATATATTATTGTAAATCATATTATGGCTTTTTTTTTTTTTTTTTTTTAAGAGTCCTTATCTCTTACACAGACCAAAATATTTTTAGATGAAATATGATTTCACAGTTATATATGTGAGGAATGAGTGGAGGCATAGATGATTGGATGAAGTTGGATGACACATAGATGGGAATTCATTCTATTTTATCTACTATTGAATACTTAAACTTTTCTGCCATCAAAGTAAACCAATCAATCAAAAACAAAACCAAAAAACTTAGTTTCCCATCTCAGAGTAAAAGGCAAAGTCCTGCTATGGCCAAAGGACCCTATAAAATCAAGTTCCCTCGCTTACTCACCGTTTCCTCCCTGCTTTTCTACCGCTGCCCTTCCTCTTATTTCCACTCCACCTGTACCAGGCCCTTGCTGTTCCTGCAACACAAAAGGCTTGCTCTCGTCTCAGCACCTTAGCACTACTTACTGTTCCCTCGGCCTGCAGTGATCTTTTCCTAGGTAACTGTTGTCTTACTCCCTCACCTCCTATAAATGTCACCTTCTCAGTGAGGCCTTCCCTAACCACCCTCTTCTCCTTTCTTACTATATTATCTATCTGCCTAGCTTTCTACCTTCTCATTCATTCCTTTATTTGTAAGCTCCATAAGGGTAGAGATCTTTGCCTCTTTTCTTCACTGATAGGTTTGTGACACTTAGAACACTGCCTGGAATGTAGTAGATTGTCCATAAGTACATGTTGAATGAATATTTGTTGAATGAATCATCATCTGGGAGTGTGAATAGAGAATAGACTATGGCAGTATAAGATTGCTGCACAGCACTATTGGCTTTATTTGTATTTATTTTATTTTTTATTGTGATTTGGGTGAAAGTTCATAGAGCAAATTCATTTTCCACACAGCAGGTCATACACAGTTTGTTCTCATGACATTGACTGCAATTCCCTACAGTGTAACAGCTCTCTACCCACTTCCTCCCTATAGTTACCTCTTCCCTGTGTCCTTCTTTCCCATGCATTCCTGCCCCCTGCGCTGTCTCCCTGTACAAATACTGCCCTTTTGTTCTCCCATGATTGATGTTCTAAAGAATGTATGTAAATGACCTACATGCTTGCCTATTGTGTGGCTGGAGGCTGCAGGAGTGAGTTCAGTTCCAGACCTAAAGGGTACGTAGGGGTCATAGTCTCTAGGGTCTCACCAGGCTCTATCTAACCAGTAAACCTGGTCTTTTTTTATGATTTTAAGTTTTGTTCCACATTGTTCTCCTGCTCTATCTGGAATCTCCTGCACTGATCCCTTTCCAAGTGGTTGATAATGGTAGCCAGGCACCATCTAGTTCTGATCTCGTTGTCACATAGGCCGAGTTTCGCATAGTCCACTAGTCCCTTGGACTAATTGTTTCCACATGTCGTTGGTTTTCTTCATTCTTCTTTGCTGTGGATGAGGAGAGACCTGTTGTTGCATCTAGGTGGCAGCTTCCAAGCTTTTAAGAGCCCAGTCACTACTCTCCAAAGTAGGATGTAGAACAGTGATTTTATGTAGTATGTTATGCCAGTTGAGCTTAATGTCTCCTGTGACCATGGTCCCTAGACCACAGTTCCAACTATTCACTACCTCAGGAGTGGTTGGCTGTGGCTAAGAAATTATCATAACTTTGTCCCTTGTTTGCTCTATTATATATATAGATATTCTTACAGCACATACAAATATGTATGTAGAAATATTGGGAGCTCTACTGGTGTAGTACCTAAGGCATTTGACTGCTAACCAGAAGGTTGGCAGTTCAAACCCACCAGCCGCTCCTCCGAAGGAATACTGAGCAATGTACTTCCGGAGGGAAACAACCTCGGAAACTCAAGGAGGGGTCGCTGAGTTGGAACCGACTTGACAGCAGTGAGCTTTTTTTTAAAACCTTATAGATGATCATGGGTATATTCGCTGTTGCCTAGACATACCTGATAATTCAGCCTTTCTGTCTATCTGTTTACATGTAGATTAATGTTTGTTATCACTGGTAATACAGTATTATGTATGTAAAAGGTTTATTTTTGTTGTCTGTACCTCTTGTTTACCTGTGCTTTCCTTTTCCTTAGTGTTACTGTGTTGGCTTTGTATGTAAGAAAGTTCAGAATTCAAAAAGTACTACACAAAACTATTTGCAATACAAATTATGTATGCACATTATAGAAAAGAATGTGACATTTATTGCCTAGCCTATGTAACAGTAATGAATGAAATTTTGAGTAAACTTCATGTTATATAAATATATGCACTAAAGATATTCTTGGGCTTGATAGTTAATTTTAAGGGAAAATTTTCCACAGTACCAGAGCACCAGCACAGCAGGGCATACTGTGGAGACTCTGGAATTTTAAGACCAACAATATCAATAGTTAGAAAAGTTTGAATTTAATTTTTGCTGTCTTTTTGGCTTGGGGATTTTCACTACATTGATACCTCATTCAGGTGCAAGTATGTGTCTTTTGTCAGTCAGGCTGATATGATCCTGTAAAAAGTTGACTTATGAGTTCATCTGTGCCTAGTTCATCCAGACTGAGTTACGCAAGACGGACCAGTTTCTTGTAGTGGGTCTTTTTTGCCAGTCCCAAGATAGTAAACAAGCTCTATCTTTGTATAAAACTAGACCACTGGGTCTAGTTTTGTAGAAAGATAATTCAGGTACTGGTGACTAGCCATTTGTGTTTTGTAGTCCATAGCATTTTCAGCTGTTAGACACAGGGAAGTAAGAATAATAAAATAATTTTTAATATCTTTTTTTTTTCAGGCTTGCTCAACTCCAGATATAGCCGAGGATGGGTTGATCACCGAAGATTAGCTGTAAATAGCTTTCGCTATTTTGGATATGGCCAAAAGTCTTTTGAATCTAAGATATTAGAAGAAACCAAATTTTTCATTGATGCTATTGAAACATATAAAGGTAGACCTTTAGACCTTAAACAATTAATAACAAAAGCTGTTTCAAACATAACCAACTTGATCATTTTTGGAGAACGATTCACTTATGAAGACACAGATTTTCAACACATGATTGAGTTATTTAGTGAAAACGTGGAACTGGCTGCCAGTGCCTCTGTCTTCCTGTATAATGCTTTTCCATGGATTGGCATCTTACCTTTTGGAAAACACCAACAACTGTTCAGAAATGCTGCTGTGGTCTACGATTTTCTCTCCAGGCTTATTGAAAAAGCTTCAGTCAATAGAAAGCCTCAGTTACCTCAGCATTTTGTTGATGCTTACCTAGATGAGATAGATCAAGGTAAAAATGACCCATCATCTACTTTCTCCAAAGAAAACCTAGTTTTCTCAGTGGGTGAACTTATCATTGCTGGAACTGAAACTACAACCAATGTTCTACAGTGGGCAGTTCTTTTCATGGCTCTTTATCCTAACATCCAAGGTGAGTGTTTTCTTGATGGTCTCAGGGTCTGTCCTTATTTGTAGGGCTCATACCTACTTTAGAGTCTTAGGCCATATACAAAGCATTTTATGTACTTACTCCTGCTGTGCTAGCCAAGGAAAAGACAAATACTTAATAGTTAGAAAGACTTTTCAATTTTCAAATCTGTTGTCTTGATTACTGTAACAAACCTCTGAGATGGGTCTTTTTACGCCCATTTTAAAATGAGAAAAAAGGCAGAATGGCTGACTTGCCCAATGTTAGCCACTGAAAGTTTGTGGAAGCCATTGGTTTTTGAAGCTACATTTTATGCTTCATTATTTTCCTTCCAGAGAGTGATGTTCTTCCAATTCTAAGTGTCTTTAATTTTAACTTTTATTCACATTTTAATGTGTTTTTGAGAACAGAGGTACTCCAGAACATTGGCTACTGGTTATACAAAATGTGTTTAAAACTCCTAACTAATGATAAATCTCAATCTACTACCTATACCCTTTTGGCTTATTATGGGTTATCCTGTATTTTATCCCAAGGGGAGCTTACTTTTGCTGTAACTCTAAGAATTACATAATAACTTGAACACTTTTTCTCTGACAGGACAAGTTCAGAAAGAGATTGATTTAATTATGGGCCCCAATGGGAAGCCTTCTTGGGATGACAAAGGCAAAATGCCTTATACTGAGGCAGTTTTGCATGAAGTTTTAAGATTTTGTAATATAGTTCCATTAGGGATTTTCCATGCAACCTCTGAAGATGCAGTTGTACGTGGCTATTCCATTCCTAAAGGCACAACAGTAATTACAAATCTTTATTCTGTACACTTTGATGAAAAGTACTGGAGAGACCCAGAAGTGTTCTATCCTGAGCGATTTCTGGACAGCAATGGATATTTTGCCAAGAAAGAAGCTTTGGTTCCTTTTTCCCTAGGTAAGAGAATTTTCAGAGGGGCATACATGTAGGATAAAGTGTAATGATGTTTCACGTAGAACATCTTAATCTGAAGTATCCGGCATCCTTATGTAGAATAAAATGCACCAATTCTGAAAACAGCATTGATTCTTACAGGAATGTTTTTATAAAATAATTAGCACCTATTTCTACTCAAAAACAAGCCTTCATTTAATAACTAGAGATAAACTACTGAAAAGCTCTGGTGTCTTCTGAAATTTTTTGCTTGGTGGTTTTTGCTTGTATATAGACCTTGTGGAGCCAGAAGTCAGTAGCAAGTAGCTTGAGAAACAGACCTAGGAAGGGTAATGACATGATAATTTGAAGTAAAACTAGACTCTATTTTTCCTATAGTTTAATGTACCTTATCTCTAACTAGAAACATATTCTTTCTGCTGGGAAAAAGTACACGTATCACAAGACTCATGCATGGAAGATGGGCTAGAAATTCTTCTTCATTGAGGAAGGGTACACACATTTAGTCCATTGAAATGAAATGGGCTTCTCTTAGATCAGTAAAACCAAATGTGACACTTCACATTAGATCTTTGATGGCGTATTTTAGACTCTCTTACAGCATGCAAGAGAAATGGGAAATGGGCCTAATAAGCTTTCACAAGTCCATGAGCTGACAGAGGAAGGTAAATGAATGGGTTCTGGGAACTGAAATGCCAATTTTCATCCTTGGAAAGTTGAGAGAATCCTTTAAACACAACTTTGTCTAACTTTTCTTTAAATTTCAGGTGTCCTGAATGGCACCCAAATATTAGCCATTAATCTTAATAAATACTGTGGGCTTCTAAGAGTATTATATATGCTTTTACAGGGAGAAGACACTGTCTTGGAGAACAGCTGGCTCGGATGGAAATGTTCTTGTTTTTCACAGCACTGCTTCAGCAGTTTCATGTACATTTTCCACATGAACTGCTTCCAAATCTCAAGCCCAGATTAGGCATGACATTGCAACCCCAGCCCTACCTCATCTGTGCTGAAAGACGCTGAAAGTACATGGATGTTTGGAGGAGCAAGGCTGTGTGTTTACCTCTGAATCTTGTTTCATCTGTGTGTGTGTTTGAACAAATTACATCATCCTAAAGCCAAGGGGGGAGCTCTGGTAGTATAGTGCCTGAGGCACTTGACTGCTAACCAGAAGGCTGGACGTTCAAACCCACCAGCCACTCCTCAGAAGGAAGATGGGGCAATCTACTTCCGTAGTGATACTGCCTCGGAAACCCAAGAAGGGTCGCTATGAGTCGGGTCTGACTTGATGGCAATAACAACACCACCACCACCAAAGCCAAGTGAGCATAAAAAAAAAAAACCTCCAACTGGTTGCTGTTGAGGAGAATCTGACTTGCAGCAACCTCATGTGTTGCAGAGGAGAACTGTGCTTCATAGGATTTTCAAGGTTAGGACCTTTTGGAAGCAGATTGCCTGACCTTTCCTCCAAGGCGTCTCTGTATGGTTTCGGACTGCGAGTCTTTTGTTTGACCATTTTGCACCATCTATGGACTCCATGTGAGTATAGATGTGCCCTTTTAAGATTGGACTAGAGCAATATCAAGTATTAGATACATTTGTTTCTAGCTTCTATGATTTTTTTTTAATTGTGATTTGGGTGAAGATTTACAGAGCAAATTCACTTTCCATACAGCAGTTTACACATACTTTGTCTCATGACATTGACCACAGTTTACCACA